ACAAATCTGGTAGTTAAAAAAGGGCGTTGGATTAAAATGAAATGGTTTTGCATATAATTTTTTTTTTCTTCTGTTGCAGGAGATTGCAGTATATCAAAAATGTAGCTTGATCTGAGAAAAATCACAGATTTTAATGGGTTGTACCAAAAAGAAAGGGTTAGGAGAAGTTTTTTTAAAGGAAAAAGAGTTAAGTGTTTTGTAAAAGATCAAATGAGGTCATATAGTATTATTCTTTTAAAAGAACATGCTTAAGTGCCAACTTGAATCTTAAAAAAGCATGCAAAACACCACGGGGTCCAAGCCCATTCGTTAACTTCTCATAAAATCTTGAAGAAGTCTATCATACATCCTGCTGGCTGCATCTTCAGTGCAGTTGTTTGTACTGCGGCCCTGGCTCAGCAAAGGTCACCCCACTTAACGCCAACACTTTAACTGGTCCTCATGACCACCACGGAAGGACTAATATGCTTAATATTAAGCAGGTAGATAAGTGTTTTGCTGGGGGAGGATGGGGTCTTAAACTTGTACTATGTTTTGCTGGGAAATTATTTTGAAATGCCATGCCTTTGATACGACCGAAAAAGAAAAGCAGAAAGCCAGCTTGGAGAGATTAGATGGCGCTGGGAGGAGGTTGTTCTGTATTTATTTCAAAGCAGGAACTGCCCACGGCTGACTGCTGTACACTTTGCACAGGGTATCATATTATTGGGGCTAATGCTGCCTTTTGTTTGGCATTCCCATCCCGGAGCAATCCCATCTTTTGCCCTCCCCCTGCCTCACACTGCACCTGAGTACACTGATTTGGGAGCACATTGTGATCCTGTGAATTCTCAGCATGTGGTTTCACAAACTTGATGGTGATGCCCAAACATACAGGCAGACCAGAACTGGGCCAATTGGTCAGTTATTTCTCCGTGTAAACATGAACTCTGAAAAGCAGTTCTGTTTCCATTATGACCTTTATCTTCCACTTTTATAAAATATGAAGTGAACTATTCTAGTTGGTATCAGACTGTTTTGGAAGTGTTCTTGTCTTGAAAATAAGTATTTTATAATTTTCCAAAAGAAAATACATTATATCTGTTAATTAAATACACTGCCTGTTCACAGGGAAAATAGCATTACTGTATTTGTGCTCCTGAATGAAGTTGTTATTTTTTTCAGGCAGTTATTAAGGAGCCTCAAACACAAATGCTTAAAAAGCAATTCCATGAGTCCTCTTTGCGTATTGTGTGAACAATTTCCCTTGGTATTATAGCCTAATATGACAATAACATGATTAAATGAATATAAACCCCAGAGATTGTATATTATTGAGTCCTGCCTGCATTGCAAGGGCCATTTCAGTCGTTATAATCTTTCCACAAATATGCTTTTGACTTCCAAATGCCATTCTTGTTAAAAAATAAAATATCATCAGTTTTACTTGGATTCAGAAGACTGTGTTTCCTATAAAACGTATCAGAAATTTGGCATGTTTAATGTATCAACTTTCTAAAGAAGAAGAAGAAAGTATTCCCTCCTTGTGGAATATGCTATCAAAAATCAGAGAGAGCACAAGTGAGGCATCTTGCTGTCCCAGCTACAGGTCCACAATACTGCGCTCACACTGCGGGTGTAAATTCAGCATCTACATGAGGTACAGTGACTTGTCAGCATTTAATATGGACCAACATACACTGATATAGAACAAAAGTAAATACATAACTTATACTTCACTAAGTATCCATGAACAAAAAATAAAATTCTATTTCCTATGTTATATTTACACAATTTAAAAAAAATCTAAAATGAGATGGTAAATTCATCAAAAACTTTGTTTTGAGCTCCGATTAATAAAGTAAAAATATTGGGTTTTATCCTTATGATTGTCCTTCCTTGATTTCTACTGACATTTTAGAGCCAATGTCGGCTAATAAATAGAATAACATGCTCATAGGCACAATTCAGCTTCAAATGTGTTCCTCCCACTCCCCCAGCCAGTAAATGCAATTTTTACCAGCTGGCAATTCCTGAACAGCCAGTCATTTTTAAGAATGTGGCTTTAACATACAGAGCATCAGCAATGAGGCAGGGCTGGAGCTAAAACAAAGTGTTCATACATACATGTATTTTGCATAAATAAATGAAATAACAAGACATAAAAATGACTCAAATCCGGCAACTGTGAGGCAGGCCCACACGAGTCGAAACAGATGACTTTTGTTCATGTAGTTTTCGTACAACAGTTTCACATTAGTCAGAAGTGATAAAAAATACCATTTATATCCAGTGCTTATAACACTTATGAAACAACATCTGTGAGTGTGTGTTTTTTTTTGTACTACAAGCAAAATCAAGTTTCAGTCCTAAAGAACAGTCCTTTGTTCTCCACAAGCCTGCAGAATATTATTTTGGCATGGTCATAAAATGAAAAAAAATAAAAATTAACCAACTAATCTAAATGTTTGCCTTTGTGCAAAAAAATAATTACATAAAATGCAATGCTAGCAATACAGCATTCTACCTATGCAACAAAACCAGAAAAAAAGAGAGCAAGAGAGAAAGAAAGTGACATGGGGGGAGGGAGAGATAATTCTAACTGGAGAATTATGTAAGACATTAATAAATAGTATTTTATTTTATTTTTTTTTTAGGAACTAATGATATCCTCCCCCCAATCGGAGCTGAATGTATTAAAACCAGTTCAAATTCCCAAGCAATTATAAGAACAAAAAACCACTTTCTATCAGTACCTTAGCCAGCTTAAAGAGGACGCTCACCAGCTAATGACACAGCATATGCCTTTAAAGTCTTGGCTAGACCAGCTTATTGCTTATTAGACATGGACTCAGAACACATTTAAATAAATATTAAAAATATAGGTTTTTTGTTCCAAATCACAAAATGGTCAGAGAAATTTGACCACTGTGTTTCTATGCCATTATCTTCATAAATTGTCCTGTAAATTGAACAATCTTCTTTGTCTTGGGGGTAGTTCTCTCACATTGAAACACGATTACTACAGCGGCAAAAATGGCTGTTTCTGATCAAACAGGTAATAGTGGGGCTATGAGGGAAATGACTGCTCTTCCATAGAGCATCGTGTCATTGCAGCTCAGAATTTCTGCAAGACGGGATGCCAGCACAAGGATGGCCAGCACTAGCACCAGACTTCTTTTGGTGTCCGGGCCCGAAACAAAGCCTGTGCAGCTCTGTGGGAAGATGCCCATACACTTCAAGAGGAGCTGCTCTAGGCCCACTCATACCTCTCAGCCTGAGCCTGGATTTATCACTACTGTGCTGAAAACATCCAATTCAAAATAAAGGCTGCGGGAGTTGAGCACATTTATTCATCAGGCCTATTGGATCTGCATGCATATACAGTGATATATTTGTGAACAGGAGTGGAGTACGAGGGAAAAAAGTAAAGGCAATTTCTCCTCTGTCTTTGCAATTTAATAGATTTACAATCTTTGAATATCTTTCTCATATATACCCCAGAATTTTCTCCAGCAATTGCATTGTTTCTAGAAGTATTACAAATAGAAATTTTAATTTCTATAGCACCTAATGTCCAAAGATCCCAAAGCACTTGACAAGCACTTGAAAAGTCACATTCCCACATGACTAATACTCAATAAATACTTTTGATGAACCATTTTCCCAGCTTTGCAATTAGACATTTGGGTAGCCTTCCCTCCCCCATTATGAGTCTCACATATAAATCACTGCATAAATACTTAAGGTATCACACAGTTCCTTCAGGTGGCAACAGAAACATGATGTATGGAGCCATGATTCACTGCAGGATTCCTCAGGCCCTAAAAACTCATCACAGTGGACTCCAAATGCAATTTGGATTTAACATCTGCCCTTGCTGTCTAAGTATAGAGGTTTATAACTATAAACACTTTTTTAGGAATATTTGTACTCTATGTGCATATAAAAGTACTCACTTTATTTTGAATTACATATAGCAGTGTTTCTAAGTGCTCCTTGAACATACAATGTTAGAGGAACAACTGAATTTCTCATTCATAAAAGTTATGTTCATTTTAGTAGCAGGTGCACTTTTATTTTCATATACCTGTGTGAATTAGGGGAGGAGAAAGAAGGGGCTGTTAAAAATATCAGTAAGGAATTGGAAGTGTAATGCCACCAACTGTACTTTTAAAAATAAATATTAAGTGTTTGGACCCTTGACATTCTGGAATGAATAAATTATTTAAGAGAAAATATGTTAAGACTGAATGCAAGGGTTAAAAGCGAAGGGATAGAGAATGTAATCAGAGGTGGCCTCACACTGTTAAGACAGGCCCGTCCATAGCTGGTGATCGCTCTTTTGTGCTTACTTAAAATTTCACACTAATGGCACATCAAGAGGCAAAAGCAGTTGGGCACATGCACTATGGCAACCATGTTCACTACTTAAGAGTATCCTGTCTCCAGATTCCTGAGTACTTCACCATATTCTGGAAAAAAATTAGGGTTTATATATAACTTTTTTAAGATGCCAAAGGATTGTCTAAGACTTTACAGTGTCTCCTTTAAGACTTTTTTTTTTAAATGTTAAGATTCAAAAGTTATGAAAAGTTTGGCACATCAGAAGTTCAGCTATACATATGGAAAAAAAATGGAATTCAGAGACTATTTTTTAAAGACGAGCTATGATGCACAGATGTGCACACTTGTGGACTTGTTCTGTTTCACAATATGAAATCTGCAGTTTTTGTTTTTTTAAAATAATCCAGAATAAAAACACATTCACAACCTGTAGGCTGGCACAGCATACCTGAGTGAGAATGTAAAACCCCCATCTAAAACAGTAACTTAAACCTTTATCAGCATCCAAACAGAAAAAGACAAAAGGTAAGACTTGTAAGACAGCTATTGATTCATATAAGTTTTCAAGTCCTGATGTCTGATATTTATGTCTTCATCTAAATTAAAAAAAAAAAAAAAAAAAAAAAAAAAAAAAACAAAAACCAAAACAAAACGAAAACAAAAAAAAAAACCAAGTTCATGAAAAATTAGGGAAACAATCTGTCTCACACGATAAGAAACATTTAAGACCATTCTGCTGATGTAACTGTAGGAGCCACACATGCATGCAGGCTCTTTAAGAACTTTTGTTCAAAAAAACCCCAAAAAAACCCAAATGAGTCTGAGTACTTTAATTCTGTGAACACTCCTCAGTTGGCACTGACTGCCTCATGGGCTTCGTTTTCGCTACTATAGTCTGATTTGGGATCATCCTCATAGTCCTCGTACATTTCTATTTCATCCTCTCCATTTATCATTTCATTTCCAGCGAGGCTTCCGCTGTCCGTCTTCATACCATAAGTGCTCTGGATGACGGGGATGCTGGGCTCAGGGCTGGCAGAGGTGCTCGAGCAATCCGATGTCATCTGAGGTGATGGCGTGGTAGTCGCCATGGTAATAGCACCAGGGTAGACAACTCCCGTTCCCGTGGTGATTGGAATCTGAGGCTGTTGTCTGGAAGGAAAAACAAGAGGGAATCGTGATTTCCTGTGTTTAGAGGGGGAAGACCTTCTGCAAGTCCAAATGAAAGAAAAGCAGATGGTTTCCTAGAAAGGCTGCGTGCATTCCTCCATGGCTCACAGATTGGTGCTATGTGGTATTGGTTCATCTCCTCTCCCCCAGAGGACAACTGAGGGGTAAAGTGTTTAGTAACTACCAGACATTGATTCTTTCATGTATTTTATGTGTTTATTTCAACCATAATGTGAATTAGCATTTGGGTTTTTGAAGTAAAGTACTTGACAAAAAGAACAGATGTTCTTTTTTCTATGGTACAGTCTACAGAAATTCAGAAATTCATTGGGTCCTGAAGACCCAATGTCAAATGTGATTTATTGTGACAATGCAAATAAATGGTAAGACTCAATTAAGGGTGCAATACTTGTACTTCTAACACACCTTACCTTCTAGTATCTAACTTTGCAAGATGTAATGCTGTCTTTTCTCATGTGTGTGATTTTAAACATAGTGGAGCAACATCACACATAAACTAAATTCGACTTTTATCACTGCCAGCCAAGAAATTCAGCACAAGCTTTACTGTAAGCAGGCACATAGCTGTACTAAGTGATGTGATGTCTCTTCTTACAGTAATATACATATATTCAAGTGACTTTCTGAGAAAAGGTCAGCTTGCTGAACCTGTTCTATGGTCAAGCCCTTATTGGCTACACATTAACTAAATCTACATCTAACTAAATCTTCTTACATTTGGGTTAATTAACTAATAAAGTACTTTCTATATTAAACTACTCATACAAATATTCTGATATTTCTTCTGGATCATTACCTTTAGTAAAGCTAAGAGAAAAAGAAGGGATATAACTTTTCTGAAGCCTATTTGGATAATCTATTTAAAGAGTCATATATTTCAATGTATTCCCAACCTTCTTTACAGCAATATTGACCCAGTGAACTATTACAGAATTTTAGCAGGAGGAACAGTGTCAGATATGATTGAATAGTCTAATGAATCTGCAACTTCTTGATCACAGTGTCATTCTATACTAAATTCAAAAGGACATTTCATAAACCAACCTCTCAGACAAATTCTTAATAATTGGTTAAATCAATACACAAAGTTATGTTAAGCTTATTTACAAGACCCTAAATGTTGAGTATTTGTTGTTCATTGATCAAACTCTAATTTTGATAAGTATCACAGTACAGAGTTACAGGGCAACTGAAGTCCTTCAAGTCTGGTAACTGAGACAGACAGTCAAATCATGAACACTCTGTGTAAGATAACACTAAAATAGCTTGTAGTACTGTCATTGCTGGTACTGCTAGCCTGACTCTTAAAGCCTCTGCACAGCTTGAGAAATTCAAACATCTGTTGTGTAAGTATGGTACACCTGGCTAGCAGCAAGCAAAAACATTGCAGTAATTCATTTGACACAGTCATTATACTCCTGTTTGCAAATGATGATTTGCAGATGATTTACAAACAGCTTAGGATTTTTCACTAAATTTTCACTTTTTAAATGGTCTGATAAATGTTCTGTGAAAACAATTTTCAGCCAATGTATTTGCTTGCAAGTGATTTTCTGCAAATATCTTTCAATACTTTATCCATAAAATTGAACACCTACCTCGAATGGGAACATTTCTGGTCTAAGATTGCATGTTGTCAAGAGTATAAACTATTACTGCTAAAAAGCCACACATATCTCCTCCACAACTTTTAGATACAGGTAATGTTCGTGTTAATGGATGTTTACACAAAGCAAACGAAAAAGAAACCCCCACATGGTCAACAGAAAAATTCTACATAGTTGTGACCAGGCCATACATTCTAATCTGCCCATCTAACAACTGCTGGTACTAATCTTTTTTCTGGTATTTCTTAGAATAAATAAATTCAGGAAAACAAAGCATCGCCAGTTGTTCACCAAAGAATACCATAATATTAATGCCAAAAGACGCTTTGAGAAAAGTTTTCGCAACTGCTGTAACAGAAGTTGTAGAATATACTCAAAGAATGACTGAGTGCAAGACTCTCTAGTGTTATAAATGACATTATCAGAAAACTAATAACCACTTCTACCCCTCCAACCCAAAAAAGTTTGCATTTTTTCAGAAGCAAATTGCCTTTTTTACAAGCAGCAAGAACAATAAAAGTGTCTTAAGTGTCAATAAGACAGTGCTGTGAGATATCTTGATAAAATAATGGTTGTCAGTGTTAAGCCCTAAAGGACAGATAAAAAATTCTGGCATTCTTTCAAATACTTATCAAATCAGCAAAACTCTTTTGTATATCCACATTTCAATGGGACTGGGTACACTTGTACCAAGTACCACCCATTTCAGAGTATTAACGGAGCTGATCATCTGAGCATAAAGAAGTCAATTTTACAGAGATGTATTTTATTTGAGAACACATGAAAAGCATGGCAAACTATAGAATGACTCTAATAGTAAAAAACTTGATTGGTGTAACAGGGAAGTTAAAAGTTTACTGAGTTTGTCATTTATGAATGCAGTCTTTTTTTTTACGTGTTAAACAAAAATCGGACATGCCGTGCATGCCTGTTGCTGGCTGGGTAATAACTTTAAATTACCTATATCTCACCATGGAACTGTAAACATGTGGTAACTGTACCACCTAATTGAAAAGGGTCTCAAATTGCTACCCATTTGCTAGCAAAAATTTGGTAGCACTTATGCATGGGCACCTACACACCCCCAGTAACTGGACACCTGCCTCTTACTTAATACCTATTATTATTTAGAGCTGATCAGGCTGTCACTGTAAATTCTGCTCTAGTTGCTGCATTTCATCCCAGAAAGCCTTATTTTAAGATATCACAAACTATATGGATGGCACATGTTTCTGGAGATGAGTGTTATCACTTCTTAAGCAATTAAATTCAGGGGGGGTGGGGGGTGGGAATCAAAGCATTTATTTACATTCCCACTACTGTCCCTGAAAGGAACAGTTTGGAGTTTCTAACCTATGGCTCTGGCCATTTAAAAGCATTTATATTAATGGTACAAAATTAAATTCCAAACATTTAATCATTGTCTAGCTATAGTTTTGCCTACCATAGAACCTTGGAGTGGGGAGATAAAAATTTACTGCAGGCTACAGGTTACAATTCAGTTCAGTTGCACATCGTTAAAGCAAGGATGTTTTCTGTCTGGTTAAGATTTCCAGAATCCAACATTAATCTTCCGATCTCTTCAGATCTGTGAGGAATGGTGGTGACACATGGCTACATACCCTGGCTTCAAACCACTCCTGTCTCCACCATCTCCTCTTTGACAAAGAAATCCTTATGTGGCCAATTACTAGATGTCACTCACCTCTGTTCTGCAAGGATTGTTAATCTGTCTGTCCACTCTGGGGCCAAAGATTTGGTTAGGTAAATATAAAAATGGAGATAACATGAACATTCATAGATGAATTGACCTGCTCACAAGTTTGTGGCATTAATATTCTTAGGATTTTCCTGGAGAATGTTCCACTTTTGACTTTTGTAAAACTATCTAAACATTTAAATTGGCAAATTACCATTGTTTTCTGATCCCTTCCCAACCATATTTTCGACAGCTCTTTAAATGACTGAAATAAAAATTGATTGCATTAAGGAAAATGCTTATAAGCTACACACCCCTGAAACTTACATTCCCATATGGAATGAAATAACAGTAAATCTCACAAAAGCACCCATTGTGTACTTGCTTTAAGTTCAAGCTACAGGAGTATAATATTACAGCCTTATTCAAAACCGTAGTCTAGCAACATTCAGACTATGTGTGTACAGTAGTTATAAACACTATAAAGGCTTTATTCTAAACATCTTACACTGGTAAAACATCAAAAAAAAAAAGTTACCGCTTACATCATTTTTAGAGAAATGTATATAGCATATACTTGGATTTAGAGTGTATTAGACCGTAAAAATGACTGAGAGATGGATTATTTTTGTAAGACAAAGCACCAAAAGACAGATTCTTAACTTAAAATGTCTGAATTTATGGTTTATATATGATCCATTTGTTAGTTCACATTTATTTATGCATTACAAAAAACTACTATTGAAGATAAATTGTAAATCACTTGAAGTCTGTTTAGGGATTAACTTATGCTGAAGTTATCATTCATGACTTCCATTAATAATTTTACTATTAAAAATAACTCAATTATTTTAAAGACATAGCTGGCTTCAGATTCAGCTTCCACTAGACTGAAACCAGCAGTTTTTTTATATACTCTGCATTAAGCATGAATTGTTTCAGTATATTATCTGCCTCATTGGAACAAAATTCATTCATGTAGGGATGCAACAGAAAGCCTCTGCACATTTTAAGTTCGACTCTGTTCTTTAAAATACTTGGCAGTTCCTAGATTTTTGTGCAAGTCTATCAAATATGTGACATTTATCTCAAAACATTAATTTCCAGTCCAATCTATTCCAAGAAATCTTCACTCTCTTTCAATTCTTTGGAAGCTTTTCTTCAAAAATCAGAACAGAACTTGGCCATTCATTAGCTTATTTCTCTTTTTTTTTTTTTTAAAGCCTGGCTAGTTTCTGCATCTTACCAATGTTTATGAAAGAGTGCAGCTCACTGAAGTAAGCAGTATGAGCTTTTTGCATCATAAAAGTTCAAGCAGTGTAAAACTCCATGTTTGTGGTGGGGGTTGTTTTTTAGTTGTACCCATAGCAAAATTATTCTATTAGTCAGCAGCTCACCTAAGGGAATCTGATAGGAACTAGACTTGACTGGATTGCCTAAGACATAAATGTGTATTTGGTATAAGAAAAATGCAAATACAAATATGAAAAAATATAATTTTTCTTGCTTTTTACACTTTCCTCTAGCCACCTGTTTTGAATATTTATCTTTTCATTCTGTGACAATATTTTGTTGCCATTTTGACATACCCAGTCCCAACTTAATTGGTTTGTACTTTAAAAAAAAAAAAAGTACTTCAAGCAGCATGAAGCACTTGGCACATTTCATTGGAGTCTATTTTATACTTTTGTTCTCTATCTTGCAGTGAAATATTTACTGTAAACACAGAGTATATTCAATCTGAAAAACCACATTTGTCTCCTATTTCATTTTGAGAAGGAAACTCTGTCTCAACTCTCATGTCTACAGTTCTGAAGGATGATTTATGCTGTTCCATCAAAACAGTGGAAAAATGATGGGTGTGTGAGGTCAGTTAGGAAAACTGTTACAGCTGATGTTTTATGTGATATTTACGTTAAACACAGGGAAGAGTAAGTTTAAGAAGTTAATGGGCTCAGTTACTGTGTTTCACTTAGTTATAATCTGATTTAGATGAAATGTTCCTTTTTATTACTCAATGAACTATTCTTCTGAGACAAATGATTCTATGTTTTATGTTTTAATTCAAAAAAGCCATTAGTCTGGTTTTTTTCACTAATTTTGCTTGGTGTCTTCCAAAAATTTTGTTTTAAATTTTTCTTTAGGGAAAGGGGGAATTTGGGACAACAGTGGGAAGTCGCAGAAATGCATAACATAATTTTCTAAAATCACAACCTGTGATTCCTCAGTACCAAACTCTATATTCACATTGAATGGCAAGGTAGATCTCATTTCACCTTTATTGAATGCATTCATTAGACTTCACACTCCCTTTTTCATCACTTGCATAACTAAAAGTCATTGTTTTCAGTAAAGTCCAGTGCACCATTGCATAAGTGCACAAAGGTAATTTACTCTTACTTTAAACTTCTTCAACGTGAATAGATCATGGTGAAGAGAAAGTATACATAGGAATTAGAACAAATACTTTCAAGAAAATTATGACCATCTTCATGGTCTTTGTGATCACACTCTTTGATCCATGAGGAAGATGTCACATTTAGGTTACACCAGTAGTTTAATTTTGAATAGTTTCTTATATATATATATATATATATATATATATTTATAATAGAAATATCACTCTTTAAGTAGGCAATTTTAGAACTTTCTTAAATCCATCCTCCATATTCACCTCCTTATTTAGCCATCACTAATAATGTGCAAAATGCTCCTGCTTAATATTGTTTTGAAGTAGTAAACAATTCTCAAAGCATTCAGACTGCTCTTTTGGCATTTCTTTTGCATTTCTTGATGTGATTTGGTCTGTTAATCTGCTTTGGAATATGTAAACTAAAATTTCATTACCTCAATCTGAATATAATTTGTGATGTGCTGTATAAATTCAGATTTCTATTTAGAGTTCTATGTGCAATTTTGGTGGAAGCCTATTAGTAAATAATTTCCCTTAGACTGAAGAATAAAAAACAATGTCATAACTATAGACTGGAAGGCTATTTCAAGATACCAAAACCACTTCTATTTACTGATTGAAGAAAGAGCCCACATTGTTGCAGGCTGTACCACAAAATAATTGACTGCAACAGGAGTTCTGCATCCCAAGCCAAAAATGAGGGCACATAATCGACGTCAAGGTCAATTATCTGGTAGTGAAGTACCCAACAAAAGGAGACTATTGTGATTAGAGAAATAAGCAGAACATTGTGCATTTGGAAAGGCTGGCACTGGAGATAGTTTTTAAACTCTTTGTAAATCACCAGAAACATTGTGTTAGAGCACTAAGCATCACAGATTAATTCATAAAAAAATGGCAGAGAGAAATCAGTTATGGTGCAGTTGTTTCACTGGACTTCTGTTATCTTTAGCCTGTAGATCTTTCATACAGCTTCTTTCTTTGCTGGACACCAGAGGAAATATCCCTAAAAACACACACAATATTTTTAAAACTGTGCCAGGATTTTTTGAGCCATATATTCTGTGTTGTAAATCTACCCGGTCTATCTATGCACTACTTGAAAGAGTGTTCCTAAAACTCATTTTTTAAAATATTTTTTTCACAGTTCTATATATAGTAAGTTTCCTAATAGCTTCATGCTATGATATCTTACATTCATGTATATTCCTAATACAACTGCTATTACTCCTCTCCCTTTTCCCCCTCCCCTGACTCCTTATTCTACACAGGAATAATCTTTTGTGTTTTTCTCTTTGTTCTTTTCTTAATTTAGGAAATGATCCTGGAGTCATTACTAACCCAGAATGGATTAGCTTACTAATAACTCACAAAAGACATGATTCAAACCTTTCAGGCTAATGGGAAACAACTTCTTTTGACTTTAAAGAATTCCACAATCAGTCTCACAATCAGCATTCAGTGGCAAGCTGATAGCTCCATATTCCATCTTATGTTTTTAATAAGGTTTTACTGGTTCAAATCCTTACCTTCTAAATAACATTAGTCAGTGACTTAAACAGATAAGTCTATTTGGTTTCAAACAGCACGCTCTGTCTTTGAAAACAATTACAACAATTGTACTCACCCTACGGTAAAAAACTGCCTCATCTCCTGTCTTCGAGACCTCATCAGTTGTTTGTATTCACCAATACGCAGTTTCTTTCCATCAACAATGCAGGTACGTTTTGGTCGAGGTTTGTATTTGTAATTAGGATACTTTTCTAGGTGGATTTTACTTAGCCGTGCCTGCTCTTCATAATAAGGTTGTTTCTCTTGATTTGACATGGACTTCCAGCGAGATCCTGTTAACACAAAATACTTGTGAGTGCTCGAGTAAAGCAGGTTTGGCTTTGCACATACACATTTCAACATGCCTTTTCATCATAATAAATTTTAATTAAGTTAATTGAATAAACTGATTTAGATTTACATCAGTCTTCACACATTTTGGCTTTCACAACCTGAGACAACTTAAAAGAACCTTGACTTTCAGATATTGCTGCAGACCAAACATATGTAAATCTTCACTAAATAGGTTCACTAAAAATCAATAGTTAAGTCTCAAAATCTCAGCCTTGTTCTGCAAAATAGACTATTTAATTTTTTACAATATGAGCATTAATCTGTGAATAATTCCATACCTCTGTAATACCACGCACAGTACGATGGTTAAGGAAGGTCTACAGCCACCCTTTTTCTGTTAAAAGCCTAACATTGCCTAGGGATACATGCTTCTTTGATATTTTTATGAGAATTTGGTTTATACACTCCTGCTAAGAGATATTAATATCTTGCTATGTAGCAGGAAAAAAGTATCAAACCTTATAGACTCAGCAAAACTACGAACAATCCCTTGCTGCCTGAGTGTCTTAAATTTACTAATCTTCTGACATAAGCCTGGCATAATATTGACACCTTACCATATTTTAAATCCTATTATGCATATTACCTTCCAGCCAGATGTAATGAATACACAGAATTAGATTGAGAAAGTTACATTTCAAAAACTTACATTAAAAAGATAAAAAGTAAAACAGAAAGAACATTGTAATTATATAAACCACTTCAGGTACTGTAAACTCTCATTGAAAGCTGCACCAATAAAAAAGTTAAAAAATTAACACAGTGTACACAGGAAGAGGGAAAAGTATTCAGATCTCTTGTATTGTTTATAAGGAGCTATCTAAACACTTGAATAGAGATGGGATATTTTTTTACAGGGAAGAAGAAATGCAGAAAATAGCTTTTTGGTGTCTTTTAGATGAATAAAATGATTACAGCTGTGGTAAACGTGGGTGGAAGCTATTCTTTTACCAACATTTTTCATACATCAACAAATGGAAAAGTTGTATAAATATTATCTGTAGCCAGCAATACCCTGTGTCAGTTCTAATGTTTCAGTTTCTTTTCTCATTGTCCTGGAAAAGTTGCACAGATATTATATGGACATAGACTTATTTGTGGCAGAGCAGATACTGACAGGTTAATTCCATGGTTAACAAACACTCAGTTGCTGGCACTTCTGAAATATTTATGCTGGAAGTTTACATTTTAATGAATACAGTTACTATGCTCCTAATAGTTTTTTTCACAGAATGCACACAAATAATATAGATTCCCTACAGCTGCCAACACTGAAACAGTGAAGGTTTTATACACAACTGAAAGGCTATTCATATAACCTACTTATATGGCAGACAAAAATATGAGAACTACTAAGTTAGATTTTGGAAGTTTTAGGACAAAGTAACATTTATTTGTATGTATTCTTGCCTCTGATTGAACTAAAATGAAACAAACTTTGGTAAGAATGTATTTGAACTAAGAGTTTACAATATAATGATTACAGAGGAAACCTGATTTTTACTTTTATTTATTATGAGTTACATTTGGAATCTGTCTTCCACTTCAAAGACTCAGAAAGCAAATATAGGTTTTAACATTTCACCACTCATTCTCACGTATGTTTCTAATTCTCTTGAGGTGTCTTAAAAAGCAAATCAAAATTTTTCAAAAAGGAGTCCATTTATTTGCACAGTGGCAAAATATAATCCATGTTATATTCCTCAAATGTACCAATCTATACAATTTAAATATTAACTATGGTGTCTTTTAGCTAAGCAATATATTAATTGCATGATTCTAGTGGTTAGCTTTTTGAACATTGCAACACTTTTGAACCAAACAGCATTTTGCATGTGGGAAGGTATGCATGTACAGTTCTTTTGAACTGTGCCAGATTTCTTCCTTTGACACTGTACTGTCTGACAAAAACCTTCTATTTTGATTTTGTACTTTATTAATTTTTTCCCACTATTTACTCTAGCAAGTACCATTTTGCATTCAGATGATTAGGAGTTTAGATGCATTCTAAAGGGATCTTGAAATTAAACCCTTTATCGGGATACAGTTTTGCAACAGATTTCACAAAATGTTCCTTTTGTTTTAAAGCATGTTGTGACTGCTGTTGAGAATGAAAAGCATTAGGGAAGGAGCAGAAAGGCAAAGGGAAGGGAATTAAAATGAATGCAACCCATGAGTGTTCATTTCTACAGGTTTCTGTAATTCCAATTTCAATGAACAAATAAATATGTCCTAAAATTAGAGAAGCTCATATAGGACAGTTTGGATTGGAAGGTCAGGGACACCTTTCACTAGACCAGGTTGCTCAAAGCACTATCCAGCCTGTCCTTGAACACTCCCAGGGATGGGACATCAACAACTTCTCTGGAAAACCTGTTCCAGTGCCTCACCACCTCCATAGCAAAGAATTTCTTCCTAATATCTAAACTTGCCCTCTTTCAGTTTGAAGCCATTCCTCCATGTCCCATCACTTGTAAGTTGCATTTCCAAATGTAGCTAGCCTGTGTCACCAATATAAATAATCTCAGCTTTCCCCAGCTCCCAGAACCCCTAACCTCTGCCAACTACAGAGGTTGCTACAGCAGAGCCTTCAGAGCGTCCCTCAGTTTTGGTTCAGTCACCGTCACTCACGACTTGTTCCCCACCGCCTTGCACTTACCTAGGATTTTGCTGATGTTGGAGTTGTGCATGTCGGGGAAGGCCTGGAGGATTTTCCGGCGCTCGTCCTTGGCCCAGACCATGAAGGCGTTCATCGGCCGCTTGATGTGGGGCTCGCTGCTGGCGCGGCCCCGCGAGTCCCGGTAGACCCGGGCTTCAGCCACCGTGGCACCTCCTGTTGGCCAACAATAATACTGCTGTAGTTTAGCGGCAGAGCCATTCACTGCTTTACTCCCTGTAACGTCAGGGCAGGAAGAAACAAGATGGATGCAAAACATTATTATGTGGATTATGCAAGTGCTTTCAGTGCTCTGGTTATTTTAGCCCCTTTCTCTTGCTCCCTCTTTGCTGCCAGATTTATGAGAGAGAGAGGCAGAGAAAGATAGGCTGAAGAGTGGTTTCAGTGTAACAGGTCAGGCTCACCCATCTGAGATGACCCAACATCAGAGTGAGGAATTAAATCACACTGGTATTTCTCCAGTCAAGGTATGGAGATTTGATAAAGACTTTAACATTAGATACACGCTCTGAATGCTCAACAAAACTCACATAAAAGTTATACTTGAGAGTCTGAACTGATGTCAACCTGTTCACACAAGCCATTTGCAATGAGTTTGCTGCTTCAGCGGTGAAGTACATACCAAACATTTCACAAAATAAATGATATAGTACACCAGGTACATGCTGCTAGTTGTATGGATCTGATTATATCTAGAGCTGAACATTTTAAAGTTGCATCTGCCTTGGTTGAATTTTAGATGTGCCTTGGAGCATTCGATCACATATATGTAATAAAACTCTCTGCCTCCAACAACAGGTACATGTGCAGCATCCTGGAGCTTCCAGAGTGGGAGGCAAGAACTCCAGTTCCAAGTCTGCTGTGCTTTTATGTGTCTTTATCTGCCATCAATTCAACTTGTACGTGCCAATCTTAACTGGTTTTTTGAATGCATCCAGAGCTGTTTCTTGACCACAAACAGCAAAGCTTCATGGGGGTTTAGAGTTCACAGAGCTGAATGTGAAGTATAGAACCACTTAATACAGAAGAAACAGATAACCAAGGCATGCTTTTATGGGAAAAAAACTTGTGCAATTGTGATGATAACATATGTTTTTAGAGTTATACCTTAGCTATAAAAAAAGGTGAAAAGTGTTTACGATGAGAGTGTGACATATTTAGTCTTAGACCTCATCAAACTGTTCATATAATCCAATACTTTGAAAAAGCAAGATACTTTACAAGAAATTAGGACAGCAATAGGCCTCCTTTTTTTGTACAATATTACAGCTCCCAACAGGAATTTATCTGCTAAATAATACAAGATTAATTCTTTACACTAAGTAAAACACTGCAGTTTTGATGATTCTGGTGACTGACTCACAGGTTTCTAGTTGTGCAAAAGTTAATTTTTTAATTCAGAGTAAAAACATTATATACGTATGTATACCTTTTTAAAAATTCTATATAGGCAATGTATCTACATGAAAAAAGGTCCGAAATTAGAGGATGCATAACTAATACACTACCTGTTTGCCACCAGGTCCACAGTACATTAATTTCATTTAAAACGCACTGACCATACAGGATAAATTGATTTTGTTTTATATGGTGTTGACAGCCATGTTTATTGTGCAGTGAAATGTAGTGTAGTTTCAAGCTGACTATATCCATTAACACAGGGCAATATGCTGACTACTGGGCCAGATGAAGACATACATTACCCTGAGAGCAAAAAACTCATTCTCATACAGCAGTGTCTTCTCCTGAGGATCACCCTGGTAATTTATGATGCCTCTGATGCCATTACTTTACAACTGACACCAATTTGGCAATTTGTGTAACTACCTGCATGCACATAAAAGAAGACATGTTTGTGGCAAATGTGAGATGCAAAACTATTTTAATACTATTCTAAGTACCATGCTACAGGTGTTCTGCATTTACAGGAGGCTGCAGTCCTTTATTGGGACTGCAGCTTTCTATTGGAAAAAGGAGAAGTTTTGCTGAGCAACCTGCAGGTAGGACCAATTTAAGGGTATGAGTGGTTCATGAGTTGCTGTCAGAAGGCTTGGATCACAAGCATATCAAAGATACCATCTTTCTCTTGAGAGAGGATGGATATATACTGTGAAACTTAAGTAAGTTACAAACATAGTAAGTCAACACTGAAATATTTATTGATACAATATGAGTTATATAATTTGAGAAATGCCAAATATATCATGTAACGGTTGTCCTATCTTTTAATATAATACTATAAAAATGTGTTACTATTATGTGGGCAATTAGGAAGTTGGTTACAAAAAATATAAATTATTAGTCATGCAAAAGTTGTCATTTGTTATTCAACTACTCTGCTCACAGCAAAGGAAAGAAGACATATTTGAATCCATATGATGTTTTTCCATCTTTTACTTTCCCCAAGGTCCTTATTCATCATGGCTAATAGGAGTTTGTCTTTAGCCCTTTCTAACACAATTTTGGCCTGACTTTTAAGTCCTAATGCAGGTAAAGAGTAGTTTTACTGGGATAAAGATTATGGGTGGCTTTTTAATCCAGATATAATTTAGATAGAATGAAAACAAATGAACAAAAACATGGGGGGGGGAAGAAAAAAAAAACCACCATAAATTACTTGTTTTCAGAGAAAGGTTATGTTAGAAAACAATTCATAATTAGAGTGATAAATTACAACCATCCCCAGAAGGTCAAGAAACTCTGGCTGCATCTGCTTTAAGTCCATACTTGAAGAACTTGAAAAACGCAGCCAAAGAGCTGATGTTCTTTCTGCTTGATCACTGGGGGAATATTTAGCAGTTGACCTATAGGCCATCACAAAAGCATTTGCAAAATAATTTCTGCAAATAACTAAAGTAATATAATCTCCAATCCAGTTTCTAACAGTCTCAAAACTACAGAATTATATTCAGCATATATAAAACATTACAATAAAATAATTCATGTAGGGGAGCCAGAAAGTCTCAGTACCTTTTTAGCTTAGAAATCAGGTGCTAATGATACAAATACACATACACTCAGTGAGGTCTTACAAGCTGAAACATGTAAGAACAAGCTTTCAAACTGGTTGTTCTCAGGTACTTCATCCTGTCAATCAGATATTTTGACAGTATTGTGCCCTGTATAAACAATTTCAACATATTTAACAAAGTGTGGGGGTTTTCCCTGTTGTGATAATTATATTTATTACTGACAGAGGCTGAAAGAGACCCCTGAAATTTTAAAAGTAAATATATATATATGACTGCAAAGAAGTAGGTGTCTTTCTGAAAATATTTTCAGGAAAGTCTAATAAATAATAAACAAAAAATAACAGATAAAATGGAAAAGTACTACCAGAGAAGGGTGAGATGAGAGGAGGAAGATGATAATTGTCTCTCTATTGCTCTATCTGCTAGTTACTGTTCATAGTACAATCACAGGGGGAGGGATTTCCAGAATTAAGAGCTTGGTCAGAATTTATAATTATTGCAAAAGCAGTACAGGTTGGCTGCCCTAGTGGCTTAATTGGCAAAGTCTATACTTTGGCCTAAAGACAGGGGCTGTTCTCAAAGTGACACTTTTAGCTTCTGATCATGTGCAGTGCCTCACTTCCTACATCCTTTGCATTTGCTCAACTTGTCATGACTTTAATGATTTACAACTAAAGGCAGATTAAAGGAGAATGATCACTTTTTTGTGGATATATGGCAGGCAACCCCCTTGTGAAAGCTGAATTCCAGACTACTCTTTAGGGGCAATATTGAGAACATCGAAGAATAAATCTAAAAATGTTACAGCTTTGTGAAAATAATTTGAAAAAATATTTTTGTTCCTAAAGAGACTGCTCTCTAATCAGATAACATTAGAAACATAAAAGAATCTAATCATCAACAGCAAAGATAAATATTTTCATATAAAGTAAATGTTAAGAAACATACAATGTTACATTGCTTATTTATTTATTCCTGCCTTTATCTGACTTTTTAACATTTAATAATGAAAAGAATCTTAGGACTGTGCCTAAAACGCCTATCTCTTAGCATATTTCCTGAAATCCTGGCCAAATTAGGGTTAATCCTACTGTCTTTAACAAGACGTGGTTTTACTTTCCATTTTAAACATCATCTACAACAAAACCTCAGACTGGGCTTTTGCATTTTACCAGAACAGAAACAATAATAAACGTGATAGAATGGAGGGAAAAAAAGAGTGAGAAAAAAAGATGAGGAAAAAAGAGAAGTGACAGCAAAAAGAGATTTTTATCAGTCACTCTGTTATCCCTTAATTACTCTTCACTCTATGGCCATTGATTCATGTTTGAAGTGATACATTTCTTTTGACTCCCACCCAGATAATGAATCTGCCTATCTACAGAGCATACTGCAGATCATCTCCCATGGACACATACCAAGATAGGATACACAGAAATAAAGACAATCTTTCTAGGTTCCTAGTGTAAAAATGACTGGTTAGTAGTAAAGCTCCTATCATCAGTTATTCATTAAGCTGAAGTGACATATTTGTCTACTTTGGAAAATACTGATGCGACCTCCAAAATATCTGGCCCTGTCTGTGGTAATACAACTAGCACTGCTAGCAGCTTGCATTGCAGAGACTAGAACCCAATAAACATGCAAACAGGAACCACTCTTTTATTGCAAGAGATGGGTTACTCATAAACATGGAAATGCCATAAAAAGAGGGAGCATGAAAAACCAACTTGGCAGTCCCCTGTCCTGTTCTTAACCTGAGAACAGACAGATGCAGCCTTTGGGAAAAATACAGCAATATTTAAAAGTTCAATGTTCAATTTAGAGAAAGTTGCAAAAATGACTACTAATAATGCTTCACTGTAATCAGACGTAGCAGTTACAGTGTAACATTTATCTGTTTTGCCCCTTGCCTGCCTCTTACTACTTCATCCCCAACCACATTCAGACTTTCTCATTCTTTATTATTAACAAGACAGGCAATATAAATGGGCACCCCATGAACTATTGTCAGTGATGTCTTGTTATCACTGGCAAAATACCCACCTGGAAACATGACTAGGTTTGGGACAGGGGTGCCTGTGGTCACACGGTAACACAAATGTCAAATTCCTTTTATTCTACATGCTAAACAAATATTATTCAGCTGAATTTGAGCACCGAACATTTCTCACAGGCTGCATGTCAGTGAATGAAAGGGGAGAAAAACTGAGAAAGCCACGAGCAATTCATGAAATACTAGAA